CTCCCAGCAGCCATTGGTTGCCAATATTTCCCCAGGGAGGACTGAGGTTCTGTACCTACTTCCCCATTTCCATTCTGGGGTTTTGTCTGTCTGGCTTAAGTTTAGGTGGGACTTGTACATGCTGTTACTGTTGCTATGTGTTCATATGAGTAACTGATCAGCTGTCTGGAAAACTGTTTCATTGTGATCATCTATCACTCTGGCTTCAATATGGATCCATATTTTCATTAAAAATAGCTGTTGGTCAATTCAAAGTTTGTTTTTTTCTCCTTTTTCTTGTTTGAGAATTTCATTCATTCATGTAATGAGCAAAGTTTTATTTCTTGCATCATGAATTAAGAGATATGATATGTGCTGTGGAGGAAGATTTGTTGGGCTTAATTAAATATGATAGCTACATACTTTTAAACTTTGGTAAATTAAACTTTCTTGAGAATTTCATATATAAGCACTGTATTTCACCCTGTGACTTTCAATCAGTCATTGATTTCTTAGTTATTGCATTTTCTTTGCTAGCTTTAAAAAATGGTCTCACCCAGCGGTGGACTCTACATGCTACAATACCAGTGTTCCTGGCAAGATGTGCTCACAAAAGTGGCATGACGGTTATGGTGTGTATTAGTTACTTTTCTATTGCTGTGATAAAAAGAATGCCCAGGGAAACTTATAGAAGGAAGAGTTAATTTGGCTTACAGTTCCAGAAGGATAAGAACCCATCATATCCAAGAGGCCTAGCAGCAGAGCAGAGCAGGCACCTGGAGCAGAAAACTGTAAGCTTCCATCTTCAAGCAGGCACAGGAAGGAGAGAGAGAGAGAGAGAGAGAGAGAGAGAGAGAGAGAGAGAGAGAGAGAGAGAAACTGGAAATGGGACACGGCTATGATCCTTCCAATCCCACCCCCAGTGATGTGCTTTCTCCAGCAAGTCTGCACCTCTTTAACCCCTGCAAACAGCACCTCCAACTGACGACTAGTTTTTCAAATACTGGGAGCCTATGGGGGTACTTCCACCAGCACAGGGCGTAATTGATCACTTTCTGCTTGGATACCTGGCCTACTCCACAAGAAGGATTTCATGTCTGATACTGAAAACCTGGCCAGAAACATATGACTGTCTGGATAACGGCCTTGGGGTGGGGGACCTACTATTGTTTTGTAAATGGCCATGATGTCAAACTGTTTTCTAAATATGTTTATATTAATATATTCCTGTTGCTTTGGTCCGAGAAGCTTCTTTATGCAGTGGGTGGTAGTTAACGCAAGGCCTCATAAATAGCCAAAGTGCCCAGTATAAATAATTCTCTGTGTTCAGTTGTGATGAGTCATCTGTATAAACTTCCAACATTCAAGGCTCAGGAATCTTCATGGAAGAGGGGAGGGAAAGCATGTAGAAGCTGGTGGATGGGAAGATCTGTGGAATTCTGGCTTCTGGACATGACACAGTTGATGTACACATCAACTTGCAGCACTTAGGTTTACCTACAAAAGTCCTGCACAAGATCAAGCCAGTCAAAATCCCAACATGGATGAAGAGGGTTCCTGAGGCCCCATCTCTATTGACAGTTGACAGGTGCTGAATGAGGGAAAGCCAATCTCCTCTGGGGACACAGTCACTGGTAGGATGTTCATGCTCCAGTGGATAGCCACATTCCTATGCACACACATTCAATACTTACTAGACTCAAATTGTCAATAACGACAAAAAAAAGGGACATGAATTTGGGATGGAGATGTGATGGGTAGCACCAGGGGGAGTTGTAAGGATGTAGTGATATGGATATGGATATGATTTTTACATTGTAAAAATATATGAAAATTTCTATGCTGTGTGTGGTAGGACATGCATTTAGTCCCAGAACTCAGGAGGTAGCTCCTAGTCTACATAGTGAGTGCCAGGCCAGTTTGGGATATGGGAGACCCTGTCTAAAGAGAAAAAAAAAAAAAAAAACAAGAGAAAGAAAATTTCAAAAAAGTATTATTTAAAAACAAAATGTCCCTACAAATAATGATTATCATGTTGTGAGACTAAGTAAAGAACAAAGTTCTCCAGAGAATTGGAGCTAAAAGAATTGGTTCTACTCATCTATCATCTATCTATATCTCTCTACTATCATCTATCTATCATCTGTCTATCTATCTATCATCTATCTATCTAATATCTATCATCTATCATCTATCTATCTATCATCTATCTATCTATCTATATATCTACCATCTCTCTATCATCTATATCATCATATCTATCTATCTATCTATCTATCTATCTATCTATCTATCTATCTATCTATCTATCTAATCTATCATGTATCTATCATCTATCTATTTATCTATCTATCATCTATCTATCTTCTATCATCTATTTCTGTCTACTATCATCTATCTATATCTATCTATCATCTATCTATCTATCTATCTATCTATCTATCTATCATCATCTATCTATGTATCTTCTATCATCTATCTATCATCTATTGTTCTTCTATCAGTCACTCCATGTATGCATGCATGCATCCATCCATCCATCCATCCGGTCATTTCCTATTGGTTCCATAAGTATAGAGAAAAATGATGAACACAAAACTTTAAGTAAAGCATATTTGTTCATTATAATAAATTATAGGAATTACATTGTTATAGGGAACTAATTTATTATAAGGAATATACATATACTTTTTTATTATAATAAATTTGTTCATGTGGTTATAAAGCTTTTTCTTGCAGTTCTGGTGACTGAATACAGGGCCTTGTGCATAATAGATATATGCTGTACCTACCACTGAGCTACAGCTTCAACATTTCAAATGGCTATGGAGGCTGAAAAATTCCAAGATCTAAAATAGGCTGGAGACCTAGGAGAGTTGGGAGTTCTGATGCCAGTATAAGAACAGTTAATATTATAGTTTCAGAGTGAGTGCTGGAAGGAAGAGCTGGCACTACAGTTAAAAATCAAAGGCAGAAACAAATAAAGCAACACACACACAAACAAATAAAAACCAAAACCTCTTATGTCTTAGTTCAAAAGCAGTCAGGCAGGTGGAGAATTCTCTTTTATTCAGTCTTTGTTCTACTTTGTCACTTGCCATAGTGTTCACAACTAAATCATTACATTAACCTAAAGCTGCTCTGTTCTTCATCTCTTATTTCCTTCAGTCCATGTTCAGTGCTGTAAAGTTAAGGCAAATGCAACTATGTCATTTACTAGTTCAAAAATGTGTCTTCATCTAAGCACTGAGAATGAACTCTACTGTAAGAAATTCTGGGCCCTTCTTGTTCCAGTCTCTCCACTTTCTTGTCTGGTTATTCATCTCTCACAAGTTTTGTTTTCATCAACATTCCTGCCAAAAATGTGAGGATTAATTGTCATTGAATGTATATATGTATTATAATCACAGTCACATTGAATGATTTGAATTTCCTGTACATTCTTTCCCTCTCTTTTAAATGTATTCCTTCTCCTTGGAAGGCATTAACACTCTCAGATCAGTCTCATTCCCTATGCACTCTACTTACACTGTGTGTGTTGTGTTTAGGGTATGTGCGTACATGTCTGTATATATGTGTGAGTGCACATTCACATGTGTGCACGTGTGTGAGGAGGCCAGTTTTGACACACTGGATGTCTTCCAGTATTTTCTCTTTATCTTTTGAGAAAGGGTCTTTTACTGAACCCATATCTCACTGATTGGCTAGATTGGTTGGCAGGTGAGCTCTGAGACCCTTTGGTTTGGCCCACCAATGCTTGGGTTGTACATGCTTGCATGCATGCCCAGGTTTTACATGGGCTCTGAGGACCTGAACTCAGCTCATCATGCTTGCACAGCAGACCCTTTACTGTCTGAGCCATCCCACAGACCATGACTTCGATTTTAGTGCTTTGGCTCTTACTGATTTTTTCTAGATAGAATCATTTCTTGGATCCTCCAATTTTGTGCCAATCTGCTTTCATATCATAATGTGCTTCCACTGTCTTACTATTTATAATGCTCTGTTATTATTTTTTCTTATTCTGGGAATGTCTTAATGGATAATAAGCCAAGTTAAGGCAGGATCTGAATTTTTATATTTACCATTAAATTTGCAAGAAATATCACTGTGTCTTATAGATTCCTTGGACTCAGAGTAATTGTTGATTGGCTAATAAAAGACACAAGAAATAAATAAATGCATTTTTAATGATATTTTGTGTGTATGGAGCCATATACATTTAAATGTATTTTTTATTTTTAATTGACACACAGTAATTGTACATATTTGTGGGGCACAAGGCATGTACAATGTGGAATGATGGAAGTAACTGAAGGATCTAGGATCTTTCATCTCCGATATGCATCATTTCTTTGTATTGGAAACATTTGAGTACTCTTTACTGGCTACCTTGGAGTATTCAATTTATTGTCATAAACTTTCATTTACAGCATGATGTTATAGCACATTAGATGATTTCCTCTTATTCAACCACCTTCTTTCTATGCTCTTCCAAATCATCCCCAGGTATAAACACACCTTAAAAATCAGCTTTCAATAATGAACTATAACCTAAATTCAAAATAACACAGAGAACTTTAAATAGGTCATATTCTTAACAAAATAAAATCTCCTGAAATAATAGAATATAAAGGCAAAATATTTATTCATACGCTAAGAAATTGTATCTAACTGATCTTTCCCTTGTCATTACCTATCAGGTTGTATAGAAAAAAGAATGGTCTGTTAAATCAATCATGTTCTAGCCACTGGCTCATCAATAACAAATCCCAAGGGTTTTGATGCTTTTCTTTCTGTCAGTCCCTATAAATGGGAAGATCAGTGTCTATGCCTTTGAATTGTTAGAAAGATTACCTCTCAGTACTAATATATATCCTTTCTTTACTTTTTACTTCATGGGAGCCACATGAATCCATATTCAAGGATTAGCTAATAGTCTCAATTTTGTTAAATTTTCCAACTATGCCAAAAGTGGATGTTGGCTAGTCTGTCTTTTCTTGCATTAATGGTGGGCTCCAGGTTGATTCATTCGCTGCTTGAAAGAACTTTTGTACTACCCAATTTCTTAATGGCGTCTTTCATCTGAGCATTTCTCAAAGTATAGATTAATGGGTTTAACATGGGAGTTATCATAGTGTAGAACATAGCAACTGCTTTATCAATGGGTAAAGTAGCTGCAGGTCTCATGTACACAAATACACAGGGCACAAAGAATAAGACGACCACTGTGATGTGGGAGACACACGTGGAGAGGGCTTTGCGTCTCCCCTCTGTACTGTGAGTCCTTAGGGAGCGCAGGATGGCCACATAGGAGCCCAGCAGAAGGAGAAAGTTTAACAGGCAGATGAACCCACTGTTGGCAGCAACAAAGAGCCCCAGAGTGTGGGTATCAGCGCAGACAAGATTGAGCAAAGGGTTCAGATCACACATAAAGTGATCTATGACGTTAGGGCCACAGAAGGGTAATTGGATGATGAACAGGATCTGTATGGTTGCATGAAGAAAACCTCCCAACCATGACACTCCCACTAGCAGGCCACATAAACGTCGACTCATGACGGTTGCATAGTGCAGGGGCTTGCAGATGGCCACATAGCGGTCATAGGCCATCACAGTAAGCAAAATGATCTCAGTACCTCCAAATAAATGTTCTCCAAAGATTTGGGTCATGCATCCATTGAATAGGATGGTCTTTTTTTCATGGAGTGAGTCTGCTATCAGCTTTGGGGTGCTGACAGAGGAATAACAGGCATCAATAAAGGAGAGATAAGCCAGGAAGAAGTACATGGGGGACTCTGACAATGAAGTGGAAGTTATGGTGAACACAATGAGCATGTTCCCTATTACTGAGGTGATGTACACAGTGAAAAACACAGCAAATACAATTTTCTGCATCTTTGGGTTCTCTGTGAGCCCCAGGAGAATAAACTCTGTCACGTTGTTTCTGTTCTCCATTTATCGCATGTGATGGCTAATTAAATTATCTGAAAAAATATTAATGCAACCATGAATTCATTAAAATTCTCCAATCTAATGTGTTATAAATTTGTATATTCTATTGATATGTGAATTCTCATGAGACTGTTTGAGATCTAAAAATGATTCTGAATTCTTTAAATTGCTTCTCAGGTGAAGATTCTCTTAATTGTATAGATATGAGGAATTTTGGTGAACACACAGGGCAGGAGACATCTTTATATACTAGCCCATTTATTATGACTGGGGATCTAACTTGAAGTAATAAACTATATCCTAGTGGAAGCTAAGCCCTAACAGGGAGGTAGATGATGTGTGAAAAGGCCATGCATGTAAAGCTAGAGAGTCTTCTCTGCATGCATTTGAAATGGAGACCCTTGGCAGGTATGTGAATATGAACAGAAAGGTAAGGAGGACATTGAAGAAGGGAAAACCTTAGACATTAATTCAGTAAAGCTGATTTTGTGCTTTGTATGAAAAGGTCTGAGGCTGAGTAAGAGAACAGAAGGTAGGGACAGGAACCCAAGCTAAGATCCTCTTTAGAGAAATCAACATAATAAGTAATAGGGCGTAACTGTTGGGAATATAGAGAACAGCAAGGCTATTATGGAAGGTACGAAAGTAGGTACAAAAGTAGGTGTTGGAGAAAGGGAGAGGAGAGTCAGGAAAAATAAGTTTTTAATTTTTTCCTTATTTCCTCATCTTGAAAAATGCAACAATGAAGTCTTATACTTTTTGTGGTCATAAAAAGCTTAAACATGTAAAAAGTAATGTTTGTTAAATCTAATAACTTCACAACAGTAATGAACACTTGTAGATAATCAATTGTTTTGTATAGCATGGTACCCAGCATTCCATCCTCATGTTCCTATTTAATGTTTATAATAACCTGTGTGGTTGATACTGTTTTATCCATTTTGAAAATGAGTCAAGAACATGGAGATTAAATGTGATTAGGTACAATAACAATGATAACATTGTTAAACCTACTGAACACTTAGAATCTTCTGAATCTGTAGATACTTTCTTTTTCGCCTTTTTGAGACAGGATCCTGTAGCTCCAGCTGGCCAGCATACTATGTAGCAGGCTGGCCTTGCTCTCACAGAGATCCACCTGCCTGAGTGCTGGAATTAAAGGCATGCACCATCATACCCAGCTGATACTTTCTAATTTCATCCTGATTGTCATCTTAGGAGATGGTCACAACGATGACTTATACATTATGTGGCATGTTAAAAAGAACCACAAAAATGAACGATTCAGTCCAAGATAAAACAACTAATAAAGAGCCTGTTAAGGTCATACCTCAGGTTATTTTTATATATTTATTATTTTGTTTCAAATTATTGACTCATTCACTATATTGTTATAATAAATACTGTTGAAGTTTCAGTATCTTTTTATTATGACCAATATAACAATTATTTGATACTTCAGAGTTATATTTGTGTGAAGGGTTTCTGTCAGTGTACACACATATATACAATGGCATCTTTACACTCCCAAGTATTAAGAAAAATATATTATCACTATTTGTGAAGAGCCTTCTGTTTTGATCTCTCTCATGGTCTACTTAATTCACCTTTAATAAAATTGCAAAATGAAAGCTTGAGGATCACCATTAAAAATGTTGGGAGGTGTTCCAACAGCAGCTGCTGATTTTAGAACCCAAACTCTAGATCAGAATCTGGGTTCTTTCACACACGGTTTATTTCATCTTGGAATCTTCTATCCTTACGTCCTCATGTATAAAGTGAAACTATTAAGACACACTTTACAGGTTGCCCTGTGAATTATCACAAGGAAGATAGGTGGAAACATGACCCTCCATCTTCTGGACATCTGTAGGATTTGTATTTATTCTTGTGAGTCTGTAATATGCTTATGAGACAGGTAGAACTGACAGTAGAACAATTTTATAGAGAAAATTTCAACTATCCAATAGGCTGAGAAGGAATCTTTATCAATATTTCCCTCCAAGAAGCTGTAGACTCATGTTATCCATAGCTGTGACCCTAGGAAAAGTTCTCTGTGCTTATGTTTTCAATAAGCCTTTGAAAATTTATGCCATTTAATATTCATATTTAGATATTTTGTGTATATGAAAGGCACTTAAACTTTCCTTCATGGTTTGTCTTTATTATTCAGGTTGTATTACATGGCAAATGCATGGTGCTTGGCTTCAGAGAGCTCGGTTCTACAAATTCTTTAAATCTTTAAATTTTCAATTTTAAAATCATGGGAGTACTGTTTAACACTTATATGTCATAGAATTAAAGTCAGGGTAAAAATAATCTATCAATATATTTGAAAAGACTTGAAAAATAATTGTTTCCATACATGGAAAATAAGACCCTTGTAAGTATCAATACCACTATAAAACTTACCTTAGTCATCTTAGATGAGTCTAATGATGTCTGGGAGTGTTCAGACATGATGTCATCTTCAAACTGACCTTCTACTGGAATAATCAATTTTCTTTGTGAAACACATACCACACTTAGAAGAAGAACCACTAAGAAAAATTGATATCAAATAAAAATGTAAGAATATTTATAAATTCAGATCTTCCCTTCTAGCCTAAAGCCTTAAAACAATTTCACAGAAAACCTAAGGTTTGAATTTTTTGTAGATTTACTTGACGTATTACTGAAAAACAAAATCCAGTGCAAAAATTTGGTTCCTTCAGGGCAAAAGACAAAATCTGTGGAAGAAATAAATTGAAATAAGTCACTCCACTTATTATGAATCCTGGTGTGGAGAGACTAACAACTGAGGCTGTTGTTACCTACCATGGCACAAATATTTAAAGACTGTTCCAAAAAGATGCAGGGCTTCTGTCTTATAGCTGTTACTTTCTCTCATAGGATTAATTATCTCTTTTGATGGAAAGACTTTGTCTTGGAAGCAGGTATTCTGGAGAGATGTGTTCATGAAAAAATCCCATTCTTGAGTGGGGAATTGTATTCCCTGTCCTTGGAATGAAAGCTAGTGATCTTCCTTTCTCTACATTGGGTTAAGAAAATCAAATGAAATCATATGAATCATATGAAATCATATGAATCATATGGAATCATATGAAATCAGGGTGGTATCATTCCAGGATGGGAACCTGGGTTCTGATGTCCTCATTTACAAAGCAACTTTAATTTTCTTATAAATATTAAAGCTCTTCTGAATATTCACCCTTCCTTGTATGCTTGCTAGAGCAACAAGTACATAAAATTAATGGTTTCCTTTTTCAAAATTTTTTGATTTATTTATTTTTATGTTATGTGTGTGGTTATATTGGCTGCATATGTGTATGTGCACCTATGTTGTGCAATGCCTTCAGAGGATGGAAGAGGGTGTTGGATCCCCTGGAACTGGAGTTATGGAATGTTGTTAGCTGTCATGTGGGTGCTGAGTTTGGAACCTAGGTCTTCTGTAAGAACAGCCAGTGCTCTTAAATGCTGAGCCACTCCAGCCCCAGCTTCCTTTTTTTTCAATTCTTTATAATTTCAATTCTTTTCAATTATTTATAATTTTATTTTATAATAACTGTATATTAGGTTTCAAACCACATATCGTAGATAACCTGAATTACATACAGCCTTTTAAATTTTGTTTTTATTGCATTTTTGTATATATCATACAGAAAATCTCAAAGAATCTTAATCATGTTTACACCAAAATATTTTTTTTTAATTTTCATTTTATTTGTATGAATGTATTGCCTGCATATATGTAGTGCACCCATGTTGTGCAATGCCCACGGGGGTCAGAAGAGGGTATCAGATCTTCTAGAACTGGAGCTACAGAGGGTTGTTAGCCACTATGTGGGTACAGGGAATCAAACCTCTCCAGTCCCAAAATTTAAGGTTGAGAATTTTTTTTTGAGACAGGGTCTCCTGGTAGCCCCAGCTGGCTTGGAACTCCCTGTACAAAAAAAGGCTGGCTTTGATCTCACAAAGATCTGCCTGCCTCTGCCTCCAGAATGCTGGGATTAAAGGTCTGTGCCACCCAGCCTGGCCAATAGCTCCCTTTCTCCAAATGCTGATTTTCTTCACCACCATCTCTTTATTAAGATATATTTAACTAAAGAATCTATATTTAAGATCTAATATTGATGTTCTTTTAAACACATACAATATAAAGCCATTACCACAAGGAAAAATTTTTTTTTTGTCTTTTTGAGACAGGGTCTCCCTGTAGTCCCAGCTGACCTGAATTCACTATGTAGACCAGTCTGGCCTTGAACTCACAAAGATCTGCCTGCCTCTGTCTCCCACACAAGAAAAATTTTAAATAAATCTAGCATCTTAACTCTTTTGTGTTTGTTTTGGTAGTGAGAAACAGGACTACTCTCATGGCAAATTTAAAGTACCCAACATAAAATTGCTAGGTAGAATCACTTGGCTATACCTTAGCTCTTCAGAACTCATTCTTTTAAGTACCCCTTGGCCAATTGCTTCCTCATTCCTCCTCTCAGTACTTGCCAATCATTCTCAGCTGTGACTTTGACTGATTTTTACCTTTCACATATAGACAAGATCACGTAATATTTGTCCTTAGTCTGGTTTCTTCCACTAAACATTATGTTATCTATGTCCATCAATGTTGCCTCGAATGGCAATATGTCCTTCATTGTGAAAATTGAGTGGTATTCCATTACATATATGGGCTCTCTCTCCCCTCTCTCACTTTATTCATTCATTGATTGAGGGATTATTATACTGACTCTATATCTTTTTTATGAATAGTGCTGTGATGAACATGGGATTGGAGTTATCTTTTCAGATGTTGATTGTTTTTATCTTTGAATATACACACAAATTTGGATTTAAATTGGCCTTAGGGTCACTATGGATTAAAAATATAATAAATGCATTTGAGGAAGTAAATATATTTTTACAAAAGTTTTGCATATTATTTTTCATAATGATTCTACAAGTTTACATTTTCATGAGTGGTAGACAACGGTTTTGCTTTCTCTACATTATCACCAGCAATTGTTGTCTTTAAAT